TGTTTGGTTGTCACGTGATTGTCTTGTGGTCTATTATTATCCTGGGTGTGAGTGGTAGAACCAGTATGTATGGGGTGTGGTAGTTATGTACGCATGTGTGAGTCCTGGTATATATACTTATGCACGGACTATTCCTTTTTAATCTTGACGATACATTGACGATAATTTGGATGTTCTCCTGCGAGAAATCCAGTAGCAGTTTGTCTAAGAAATTCCTTACGGAATCTTAGTGCCTTAAATTGATGTGACTGGTAAGAATAATTTAATATAAATACTGATTTTAACTATTGAAATTAAATAGTGTGTGTGAATTTGTACGAATGTGTCATTTTCATTGTAGGTCACCTTTCTTTGTTTGTTAGTTCGTTCATACTTCATCTATAATCGTAATTGTCAGCTATAATAAATTATGTGAACTTTTATTGAGGAACTTTTGTGTTGCGTTATAATTCCCTGAGATTGGGAGACCCGTGACATAAAATACGTATACAAGCAAAGAAAGACCATGTTAGTGCTACTTAGATATTTTGTAATGACGTCATAAGAACGGATTTGCAGTTGTAATATAAAATGAAAAAAAAATCTTTGGGTTTGCGATTATTTCATCATATAACCAAACCGTATTTAAGATAGGACCAAATATATAGGTCAAATTTTTCCTCAAATTTAATTTTTCTGAAACTTTGATATTTCGTTCTTGGATACAAAATCTATCTTCATATATGATATGAAATAAATTCAACTGCACATTTTTTGCCCACATAGTCTAAAATATGGCCTATTAGATCCCTGAATGAACCTTATTTTAGACTTTTTTATATTGATCTATTGCAAATCTGTGTAAAAGATAACCTTTTTGTTACTTTAAATCAGTAAGTCACATTGATACTGGAAATTTCGGGTAAAATATTAAGTAAAATAGAACATACATGGTGTCAGAAACTGAAAATTCACATGTAAATATCCGACAGTTTAAGTTTTCTTCAGAGAAAATGTATAACTCAATTTTCACCAAAAAAAAAAATCAACGGAATGAATCAAGTGGGTCCTAGAATAAAATGTGTAAAAATAAAGAAAATTGAAACGGTGGTTTCAGATATTTTGGCGATTAAAAAAAAAATCAATGGCAAAAAAACTAAAAGATTCAGTAGATGACGTCACAATATTTGACCTTCGACCTCTTCATATGACCTTGATCTTTGTAGTATATAAAGAACTAACACTCCTTATATAGGTTTCCAAATATCACCCCTGTACTATTTATGGAACAAAAGTTGCACTACATTTTATAACAGACTGTTACATGCTTGTTTATTGCACTTAGATATTGTAAACACATTCCAAAATGTAAGCTCCCAAGTGACCAATATATAAGATTCTCTGTTTTTTCACAAAATATAACGCAAATATGCCAAAACTTATTATTTTTCTTTCAGGGATCTTTCATTGTTGTCAGTATAGTAATATTATTTTTTTTCCTTCAATACTTCAAGAGCCCCGTGGGAATCCGGGTTAGAATAGGTCCTCAGTACCCCCTTGCTCGTCGTAAAAGGCGACTAAATGGGGCGGTCCTTCGGATGAGACCGTATAAACTGAGGCCCCGTGTCACAGCAGGTGTGGCACGATAAAGATCCCTCCCTGCTCAATGGCCCTGAGTGCCGAGTATGGGCCTAAATTTGCAGCCCTTCACCGGCAATGGTGACGTCTCCATATCAGTGAAATACTCTGGAGAGGGACGTTAAACAGTATACAATCAATCAATCAATCAATACTTCAAGAAATGGGTTAAAATAGAATCATTTGGTTGTTTTGTCCTACCTTAAATTCCGATAAAAATGGCTTATAGAAAAATATGAGGAAAATGTACATACATGTATAACTGTTTTGGATATGAAGTGCACGAGGTTCATCCGACTACAGTGTACCCCTCCCCACCAGTCATTATTACGTATCCCATGTTCACTAATATCTTGAAATACGAATTGAGAGTCACCCGTTCCCTACATATCAAAAAGTGGGGGAAAGTATAAATTGGCATATCTAAAATAAAGAAGTTCTTAAGAACAAAATTTTTAACTAAAACGAGAATATTTTTTTCCAATCAAAAAGGATTTTCAGAATAAACATAACATAAGAATAATCGATTCCTATCTTAATTTTGATACTTCTTTCGCCATCAATGTAATTTCACATTTTAGCTTACCTCCAGTATCGTTTGTTATATAATGCTTTTGGATAAGATTTTGTTCTACTATTATATTCAAACCCTGTTTTAATGAATCATTTTTTTCCAACCAGTCAGTTTCATATTCTGCATTTTCATCAAGAATTTCAAGATAAATTTATAAAAGAAGGTAAAAGTTTTTGAAAAAATGCAAGGTCAGATGCTTACTACAAGACTTGTTTCAGAGCTGGATCTGAACTAAGTTTTTATATATGAACAGCATAAACATTATGCAGCATGTAACTATGAGCTTTATTATGAGCAAACGCACACTGATTTTGCATTTACCAGGCAAGTTTCAGATGTTTGGTTTCCCATGTATTTTCCGAACCATTTGGAGGAAGTCCACTCTTAACTGGTAATCCTACCTAAACTCATACTTCTCTAAGTAAGAAATTCATCAAGATCATGTCTATTTTAAGTATCTTTAATATTTCACAGAGCCAAAATGAATTTAAACTACCCTATATATATTTGATTCCGAAACTTCATAAAAATCCTTACAAACAAAAATACATTGCAGGTTCCAGTAAATGTTCAAGCAAGCCTCTTTCGTTACTGCTAACTAAGATATTGACAGTAGTGAAGGAATAACTTCAAGAGTAGTGTGCAACAATATTTTATTCAAGAAGTGGTGTAAATCAGATATGAAAATTCAAAAAAAACTTTTGGACAATTTGAAATCACAAGAATTTAATCAATAGCTTAAAAACGTACGACTTTTCAACTTTACACAAACATTCCCCACGATAAATTAAAGTGCATACTTTTTTTATATCATTTACAGCTTCTTTTTTTAATGAAGTGGAACTCATAAAGTTACTTACCTTGTCATTGGTCATTTACAAAATTATTTTGTTAAAACACATTCTGCTTGCACACACAAGTATTCTAAAGTTGACATCAAAAAGATGCTTGAGTTTCTGATTTGCAGTATCTTTGTGGTTTTTGAAGACCGGGTATTCCAACAATTTATTGGAATTCCCATGGGTACCAATTGCGCTCTTTTATTAGCAGACATATTTTTATATTCATATGAAGTAAAATTTGTGCAAAATCTCATGCGTGAAAAGAAGAAAAGACTTACTGTGGCCTTCATCTCGACATTTAGATATATCAACGACGTAATGTCAATTTACAATGGTAATTTCCATTCCTAAGTCCATACGATATATCCTAAAGAAATTGAGATAAAAGAAACCACAGAGTCTGACATATCCTTTTCATACTAGTGTGATGATATGAAATCTATTTCTATATGTATTTATTCGTTTTTATTTATTTTTTCATATCGTTTTGAGAAATAAAATCTTAAAATTTGATAAACTAAAAATTTTTTTGCGCATCTGGATTGAGTTGCCTTAGTAGAGCTTTATTCTATGATTTTATTGGCTCTTTCATTTGATTGGTTATTTCCTATCTTTTCATCCAATGATACATTTTCATTATCAGTATAAATTTACCGCGCTTTACCTATGTATGTCAGAGCAGTAATACGTTTTCAAGAAAGAGTGTTTGTAATCCAGTGTCCATCATACTCATTTTATGGTATGTAACTTAAATATATGTTTCATTGCCATTTAAAGATTCGAATTACTTAATTATTTTGATTGCAAACTTTTTACTTTATTGTATTTTTGCATTCAAAGTTGTAACTGGAAAATAATAATGAATCTGTAAGATTTCAATTTAAATCATTTACAGTATACATTTTTCATGGGGTTTATTTTTTTCTTAAACGTATACTGTAGGTAAAGTATCTCATGTTATTTTCACAATTTTTGTAATTTTGACTTATTATGAACTTTTGTTTATTTTAGATCAATGCATTTATTTCTTCAATAAATTATGAAAACAACATCTGCCTTTCTGCTCGGTTACACTTGGATATTTTACTTTAAAAAGACGTTAATGGTATTTTAAACAACCAAGCTAAATGATAAAAGTGATGACTTTTACTTTTCTATCGTCAACTTTCCTTACCTATGCAGCAATATACCTTCATCACCTGCAAACGGAGTTTATATATCTCAGTTGATTCGATACACAAGAGCATGCTCTACGTATGAACAGTTTCTAAAACGCGGAAAACTATTTACTAGCAAGTTGATGAAACAAGATCATTAGTAATCTCGTTTAAAGTCACCATTTCGTAAGTTCTATGGTCGATACAACGACCTTGTCAGCAAATACAATTTATCATTGAGTTAAATGCTGACTGACGTTTTTTTTTTCATACTAATTGTTAGTCCATTATTTACATAATGAATAGACAAAGGATTTTTTCGACTTTTCCCATTCATGACAAGGAGCACACGGCGGGTGTGATCGGTCGGCAGGGGATGCTCACTCCTCCATGGTACCTGGACCGTTAACGGTAGCTCAGTCGGTAGAGCGCTCGCTCCGTGATCGGTAGGTCTTGAGTTCGTATCTCGGCCGCGACTGACCCAGTCGATAAAATGGGTAGCAACTGTTCCTTCACCATGCGCTCGGCACTTTGAAGTGAAAGTTGCGGGTCCTTCGGATGAGAACTTAAAAACCGAGGCCCCGTGTCAGCGGCAGGCGTTGGCACGATAAAGATCCCTCACTGCTCAATAGCCCTGAGTGCCGAGTAAAGGTCAAAATTTGAAGCCCTTCACCGGCATACGGTGACGTCTCCATATGAGTGAAAAATTCTCGAGAGTGTATCGAAGATATACGCACAATTTTCTACCCGCGGACTAAAGAGAAATGAAGATTCCGCGGAATTATGACCCCGTAGAAAAAAGTACGACTACAGTATACAATGATGTTTTATGTGTTAAAGCTAAATACAGAGTGAAGCCCATGTTTCTCCTTTATAATGTGTTCTCTGTTGTAAGTTACAACTAGAAATATAAAGTGTTCTGTCCATTTTTGCTATAAATCTCTATTTAAAGAATTCATTTTGTTCTTTTTCTTGTTGTCTTTCAATATATAGAAATTCTTGGTTTCTTCGAGGGTATCTGGCAGCTCCTTTCCAGTTGTTTCGGGTAACCATAGAAACAAAATTGTTACCACGAGTGACAGAGAACCGAACACAACACCTGGACCCCATGGGATGTAGGTACCCTATATTAAAAGACAGAGTTAATATGATTATTTTATTTTATAAAGTATCAATATAGTGAAACGTAGCACCTTGAAGTTTGACTTACTTAAATAAATCCTAACCATATCTCTACTGATTTATCCTGTTTAAAATTTAGATAGTATAATATGAATAATTATCTAAAAAGCATTGTGAGTGGAATAATCCAAGTGCGTTTGTCCATTAAGTTAATCCCTGCTTCGGAAGCTAATTCCTGATGATATACTTAACATAGGCCATAACTTTCGAGCAGGCGGTGCTAAAGCTTTCAAGTTTCACAAGTGCATTTCCTATGAAAAGACTTCACTACGGTTACCAATATATTTGATTTGCATTTGAAAAGATTTAAAACTTTGCTATAAGTTGCCGGGGTGGGGGGGGGGGATCAGTATTTCACAAACACGTCTTGTTTTTCAATTTTGACACATTTTGATAAGGAGAGAAAGGTTATGTGAGAAATATAAAGATAACAAAGAGAAATCGAGCTCAAATGTCCATTAATTAGAACAAAAGAAATTGGGCGCAGAGCAAATACGAAACTTTGTGAACATCGGAAGAAAGATATTGTGTGCCATTGAGAGGCATTCCTTGTTGACGGGTCACACACACAAAAATCGGTAGAGAATTCAGTGTGAATAAAACAAATGGAGATAACGAACAGTATTAAAGATCAAAAGTCCATAAAACAATACAAAATAAGAGCAGAGTAAACACGGGCCTACAAAACGTCAGAAGCGGGATCATGTTTCATATATGTTTCCAAAGAAAAAAGATTAAGAATCCCCTCATCTTAAGTAGTATCAGAATGCAGTATTTTAAGCAACGTGTGGCAGGTAATGCTTACTCCGCCAAGGCACGTGATTCAACTCTGATGTTTTTTTAGTTTACTGTGCTGTAGGGCAAGTTACACGTCTGCAAGTGTTGTTTTGAATGGATTTTGAAGTTTGATTTTTGATCGATATCTCTATATATAAATTATAAATATGATAAAGACAAATATTCATAATACAAAAAACTATCCAATGAATCTGTATTTATAAAGCTAAAAATTAGAGTATTAAAACTGGCCCTAATTAAAGACACTTACAAATAAGGCTGCATATGGAGAGATCATTCCTCCTATTCTAGACGCAGCAGATGCCAGACCCATACCTAAAGCTCTAAAACAAGGGGAAAACAAGTGGGGAAAGATTTATTAAAAAAAAGTTTGTTTTTTTTTTAAAAATGAATTTTGAAAAGATACAATACAGTACAATAACTTCTAAAGCGCATTTTAAGACACTCTAGTGCGCTTAACATTAAAATATGCATAAGCATACAGCATGGAAAACAACTACAGTGTAAAAAATACATTTGTGCGTAAAAAAAATAAGATGCATCTTACTAAATAACCTTATGCATAATAAAATCAAAGTACTGAAAGTACTGATACGAGTTGATGAATGTTCAAGCTTATAAATTGAACACTGCTTTACTGATAAGGAAATGAGATTGCCTTTTAAAAATTGCAGAAATACGTTATATCGCGACTACCAATGGGTACCTCGCAGTTATCTGACTTACTACCGCTCTTTTGCGAGGGAGTTGAGAAAAGTCTACATTTCTGGGGGCAAATGACATTGTTGACAGTAGTGACAATCGAATGATTCGAACAATTTAATGCCGAAATCACGATGTTTTGCCAGATATTGAACTCCAAATAGTAGATTGTCAAATAAGGAAAGTTTAGAATATTTTATCTGCTTAAAAATGTGACGATTTTCAATGAAAATTTAACGAGAAGAGTTCACTTAATTAAGAATATCGTTAAAAATGTGACAATTTAGGATTGGCGCCTCTCAAAAATATATTAGGCTGGTTCAGCGATTGTTTAGCAAGGTATTCCACCAGGATTTTTTACTTATCTGTCCTTATAAATGCTACAATGTGCGATCTTGCATTGTATTAAAAAGCACATTGCCCCCACCCAACAGACGATTCCTACCTCCTTCGCGAAAGAATTCCGCTAAGTTAAGTAATCGCGATATCAAGTATTTAGACTTCCATTTGATTTCTGATGTCAATTTCATGAGATGATGCACTGTATTATTAAATCCCATAAAGAAATTATGTCATGTGAAATAATAAGGAAAGCAATTCTTTTTACATTATATTTAAACATTTATTGTGTATTAGTGCCCTATTTTAACAAATGAAATGAAACGCTCTTTTACACCTACAGTGTATCATAGTACAACAATATCTGAATGCCCTTAATGTGGATACAGCAAAAGTAATATCTCTTTAAAACAAGAGGCCCATGGGCCACATCGCTCACCAGAGTAACTTGGGTGATGCAGTTCTTTACCAGATTCCCTCTCTTTCTTTACCTATGATGCCCACTACCCCCTTCCCTTTTATGATTTTAAAACTTTAGAATCTACACAACCCAATGATGCTTCCACATAAGTTTCAGCTTTCCAGGCTCAGTGGTTCTTGAGAAAAAGATTTTTTATTTTGTTCTATATATTTCTATGTTAAACTTGGATTCCCTATTGTGGCCCCGTCCTACCCCCGGTGGTCATGATTTTAACAATTTAATATCTACACTACCCAAGAATGCTTCCACATAAGTTTCAGCTGTCCTGGCCCTGTGTATCTTCAGAAGAAGATTTTTAAAGCTTTGTTCTACATATTTCTATGTAAAACTTGGATTCCCTATTGTGGCCCCGCCCAACCCCCGGGGGTCATGATTTTAACAATGAAATATCTACACTACCCAAGGACGCTTCCACATAAGTTTCAGCTTTCCTGGCCCAGAGGTTCTTGATAAGATTTTTATTGACCAAACATATTTTTGTCTTATCTTGATTATCTCCCCTTGTAAGGGGACTTGGCCCTTCATGTTAATTTAAACTTCCCATCACCCAAGGATGCTTTTTGCCAAGTTTGGTTAAAATTGGTCCATTGATTCTTGAGAAGAAGTCGAAAATGTGAAAAGTTTACAAACGGACGGACGACGAACAAAATGTGATCAGAAAAGCTCACTTGAGCCTTCGGCTCAGGTGACCTAAAATACTTTTCATTATCAATTTGACAATTACTATTGTTATACTTATCATATAAGATTTTTTTAACATTGCAGTCTTCCAGTTTGAATGTGTAAAAGCACAATATACAGTAAAATACAAGAAAATGATTTTTTTTTTTAGAAAAGAGAAAGTCGCCGTCACAATTTTGTTCATAATTTTCTCACAAGTGTAATGAGCATTAAGAATGCAAAATAAGTATTATTTCTCAGAAGTTTTACACAGGACTCTGATTTACAAATAAATGCTTCAGTAATCAAATTACTAACACAGTTATATTTGGGCTACAGGAGAAAACTAATAATTGTGTTCTTGAGCATATACACTTTACAACTGTTGCAAAAACACATGGTCACGGTAAAATATTTGTTGCATATCACAATAAGCTGTAAGATTTTACCTTCATGACACATAATAGACACAAGTTGGACAACTGCATTTTTTTCCAATGTAAATTGTAGTAGCTGAAATCGGTTTTGAAATTCAAACATGAAATTAATATGATATATATAAACATATGCCTCTAACATTTTCTTGAAAATAAAATTTCTGCTATCAAACTGGCAGTTTAATGATATTGCTTCTAATTGATGTCACTACAAAGTACATACTTTGTACATCACTTGAGTATCTCGGCTTGGAAAAAAAGAAGATATCAGTTCCATTTTGAGAAGTTTAACTTTATAAATGGTCTCAAGCTCCCAGGGGGGAAGGGGCATCATTTGAACAAAAATTAAGTTGTAACAAGTTTACAACACAACAGACAACAAAGAAATCGGATCAAAAAACTCGTTTAAGCTTTTGACTCAGGTGAGCAAAAATGTGTTTCGCCATGCAATTTTAAAACAATTACAAATATAAAATTAGACCAGATAATGAACACAATAAATTGATATGAAATAAACTTTTTCCCAGAGGTGATTTTACAAGGAAAAGTTCTCAATATAAAGATACACATTCTTCATTTCACATTTGTTCCAGTTTTCAAGGGGAAGCTTGTCCTCCAACATACAAAAGACTGACAGCACAATTTTCAAATATATATCAATGCTTGAAATTGTTCTCCTACAACAGTAGGTTTATCAAATCCTCCCAGCCATCCTTTATGCTCTGCCATTTGTGGTGTATACCTCTAGAAAAATAAAATATTTTACATTATCATTAAAACGACATATAAATAACACGTAAAATTGAAGATCTGAAGGGTATTTTATTTATCATGACATTTTAAAAGTACCTCTTTGCTTTCCTGGAGATGTCATCTGGCATTAGGGAACCCCCAACATGGTAGTGATGGAGTTAAATTTCTCCGGAATGAGAAATTAACCAACAAACCTCCAGAAGCAATGAAAAAGGTTTCGTAAACAAATCCTTCCAGGAACCATTATGCTCTGGCCCTTATGGTTTATACATGTACTTCTAGAAAAATCACAAATTTTAAATTCTAAATTAAAACAACATATAAAATAAGATTTGAAGGGTATTTTATTTATTATGACATCTTAAATGTAAATCATTATCTTTCCAAAGCAATAAATTAAGATCACTTGAATTCCAATCCTCTGTAGGAATTCAAACCACTTCTTTATACAAAATGCTTACAAGTGCATTAGCAACACGTACACTGTCTACCTCTACTATCTTCTGAGAAATTGTTTGATGCTTTATGCATATCTGCTGCAATGCAAGTAATAGCTGAGACTTGCTTTGACAATTTTTCTTTGAACCTGATATTTTCCAGAAAAGTTTGTCTTTTTCTTTTTTGAGCCCTTGACATCATCAACATAATGCATCTTTAAGATCATCAAAATCTCAATCTGATCTTTATTTTTTTTTTTTTACATCTCAAAATTGTTAATTCCATAGTTGTATGACACAGGATGCCTTTGTACTCGCATGTCATCCAGAACATGTGTATTTTTTTTCACATACATTGTATTCCCATTTATGAATATTTTTTTTATTTTATAATGAAAATAAATAAATAAGACACTTTCACCCTGTTATGTTACACTAAAAAAGTGGTCTATATTTTTCTGAAGCGATATGAGTAAACATAAATCAATTAAAATAACTTATTCCAGATTTATTATGAACAGGTGCATGTGGTGGATTTTGATCCGCTCCTGGCTAAAATAAAAATGGCGTCGTTCCAACAGATGCTTCGTTCTCATCGTATTTTTCGTGTGATACAACAAATAGAAATATTATCTTGGTTAATTTCGTTTCGTTTCATTGCATGCAGAAAAATATTCATTCGATTTTCACTAAAACATGACCGATTCTCTCAAGAAAGTGGAAATCTAGTCGAAATTTCAATGGCATGTCCTGTCGCACGACTGCTGTTTTGTGTGTTTTCAAAGACTTGAAAATAATATTTCTAGTGAGGCAGTTGCCTCATTACTACAATGGAAGCTACTTTTGCGGAAAAAACACAAAGAAAAATTTATATAGAATCAGGCCCCTAAAGCCGCAAAAACAAGGTGGCGCTAATGTTTACTCGGTCAGTACCATACAAAGTCCTATCGATAAACTACTGGCTAAGTTTATATTTCAGAGCAACACGTGCAACTATACTTAAATGTACATGTAATTACATTTACGTACCTTCAAAAAATTTCCTAGTAAGCCTCCACAGTCCCCTCAATTTCTTTTGAAGTCACTGTTGTGCTGCCGATTTTGCGTGTTTTTGTTTACAAAGCAAAGTAGCATGGTGCGTATGAATATGAAAAAGTAGTTCGATCTCTATGTTAGGCCTATGTGTCATTTGTATAAATCCCAACGAACAGAAAATTAACCAATGTTTTATGCAATTAGTTTGAAAATTTTAAAAATCGACAAGACATATATGCACATATAGGAATATGAGAAGTTACGAAATACACTTTCATTCTTCGGCGGTTTAAAATGCACTATTTTTTTGTCGGAACGACACAATAAGGCATGTCTGATGTCAATGAAAATGTTATTGTTTATACTTAAAATAAATTTCCTTTTAAAAAAAGAAACATTGACATGTCTTCAATATATATGTTCGCTTTTATTTATGTAGAGTTTCTCAAGATGTGATACAATTCATCGTAGAAGGAACTGAATAAACGAGGTGTGTTCTTTGGTCAAAATTAGGTCAACATTGTAAGCAGTAGCATTACTGAGTTGATGTCCATCAACTCTTAAAAACTATAGAATATTAATTATTAATTGTAAATTGCGCGGAAATCACTTTAATGAAATTACAATTATTGAGATATTTTTTAAAAGAATTAAAGAAACTGTACTCTATCAGAAGGGCACCAAAATAAAATCCTAAAAGACCTTAAGATCGATTCAGTGTCTTTATACATTAAATTTGGTATATCAATAAAAATTCAATATTTATATTGATGTAGATCGTTTATCATAGAATTAATATAGTTCTATGCAGCTTTAGCTGGAAACATGAATAATATTTATCCCAGACCTTTTTATCAAACTGAAATCAAAACGAATCTTTGTCTTCGCAAAAGTACACATTAATTTTTAAATATTTTTTTTATATTACTTTTGACCTAAAATTTACAGAATGGTTAGGAATTCCATACCTTAAATTTGTAGGATATATTTCTGGGGTGTATAGGAAAATTGTCATAAATGAACCAGATATTCCAAACTTTCCGGCAAAACTCATGGCCGAGGCCAATCCCTTCAACGATGATGTATCTAATGTTAAAAAAAGATCGAAGAGAAAAAAGAATGATAGGCTACAGGGACATTAAGAAGCTGGATTTTCGTGATTATCACATAATCTTTATGATATCTGTTAACATATTGTAGGAAATAACGTTCATATTTAGTTTTGATTTTTAAGTTTTATTACATATTCTATTATATGTAACAATACAAATCACAGTTACTGATGTAATCTTATTAGACATAAGGAATATACCTCTAAGCTGAAATTAACATAGATCTTTTAAGTTTCATTTTTTTTCACCTGTAAAAAAAGCTGAACTGTGACTGAAAATGGTGATCAAGATTATTGAAAATTATCTTAAAAAGCCTATAAACAAATCTGTGAGTGGGTGAAATCAGAGACTCCTGTAAAATCCGGAGGTTGGATCAGAGGCGTTTGGAGGAGTAAGCATCCCCTACCACGCAAGCCGTAAGCCCTGTGCATTGATAAAAAGGAAGGAACATTCATTCATTTAAGCCCTAATATTTGATCGAAGGTCTGGTACATTCTTTTAAGGTGGTATCTACCTGCAGTAAAGTTAAGGACAGCAGTCAAGGTCAGACTAACACCAGCAATAGCATGAAACATGACACAGGTCTTCTTCCTACCATACCTAGAAAGAGGTTTTTACCTTAATTTGTATGCTAATTTTCTTTTTAGGAAGCTCTAAACACTAAAGAGCTCTCTATTCATATAACAATTTTTTGCCATTAGTATGATCTCTCTTCTTAAAAAGTAAGATAGAAAAATAGCCCGGTTATTTATAGTTTATAGCACATTTCATTTTGGACGAAAACATTCTTAACATTACATTACACCAAGAATATGTAATTGAATTGACAATTTTCATTAATTTACCCGGTATAAGTAAAAAAAACACTAAATTTTGTTCACGAAAAGTCCATAGTCTTTTGACATTTTTAGTGCTTCTATGTTTAAAATGGGGTTAAAAGTCAACATGTGCAAACCTTGATATCATATATTTTTCTCTTGAAAAACATGTTTTGTTTTGTTGTAAGAAAAATTCTCTTTAACTCTTATTAGAACATAACTTTTAAAAAACTGAAATACCTGTTGATCGTAAACAAATAGAGAAAGGTGCTTGGTAGCTCGACGATTCCATTTAAGAAGAAGTTAAGATACATATTTCCACTCATAGTGCCGGAGGTCAGAAATAGTCCATAATACGTTATGCTGTTCACAAACCTCAATAGAAAGATACATTCAAATAAACCAAGGAAATAATTGGTTTCTTTTAATACTTTGTTAAATCAAGGGACATAGTTATGGAACCTTTTATCATTTTTCTTGTTTAATGACGTCGAGGATTTTAAATCTGATTATTACGTCATAAAGGATCTTGTACAAATTGAAAATAAAAAGATTATTACCATATTATCCAAACTATCACGGATGTCAGTAGAATGAGTTTATGTCTGAAAATATCCAAAACAGACAACTTCTCCTCCTTTCTCTTTTTCCCGGTCTGTTCACACATTGTCTCGGGTTTCCTGTACGGAGTAGTTTCATCAACAAGCACCTGTAGTTCACTACTCTGTAATTCAGAGTCGAACTCATCTATGATAGTGGAGGGATCTATTTTGTTCCACTTGGCAGCTCGTTTTATCCATTGCTTTGCCTCCTCGTATCTACCATTTGCAACAAGCCATCGAGGAGACTCTTGGAGGATCCTTACGAAAAAGTATAGAAAAATTAAGTGATATTTAAAGGTAATCTAAAGGTAATCTTAAGGTAATCCAAAGGTAATCTTAAGGTAATCTAAAGGTAATCTAACAACAAAGCTCTATGATAAACCTGATGATTTTAACTTTTCTATCTTCAACTTCCCTTTCTTATGCAGCAGTATACCTTTATCACCTGCATACGGAGTGCATATACATGTATTTAAAACAAAAACGGTGTTTATATATCTCAGTAGATTCGATACGCAATAGCATGCTCTACGTGTAGCGAGGCTTATACTGGTATAAGCCTCGCTACACGTTAGTATGTAGCACTATTTTATCAGTAACTGCTGGTGCAATAAGTTCTATAGCCTTTTACACCCTGAGTAACTTCTGGTATAATACACTTCTATTTCCTTGCACACCCTGAGTATTTGCTAGTATAATATGCTTCTATAGACTTCTGCATTCTGAAATGTTGCTGCATTTTCCAAGTATCTTGCTCTTTACTCTGTATTTCTACCGGAATGATCAGCTATATAACACAGTCTTATCATCCATTGTATTCAACAACCGTTCAAAACAAGTTTATAATTTGATTGACTTTATACAACTCATTATGTTTCTAATCTATTATATGATTGCCAATATACTGAAAACAGGAGAAAAAGAAAAATAGTGATACATACCAGCGTGTAGCCAGGCTGTGGGAGCCTATAATACCGGCTGATATAGAGATACAGTGGTACATACCAGCGTGTAGCCAGGCTGTGGGAGCCTATTATACCGGCTGATATAGAGATATAGTGGTACATACCAGCGTGTAGCCAGGCTGTGGGAGCCTATTATTCCGGCTGCCAGCATGGTGTATCTCCAGGATAGGTTTCTGAGGAGGTAGGCTACTAGAGATATGGACGTAATTGAGAGAGACCAGGCTACACTTCCGATAGAGACAATAAAACCTCGTGACTCAGCGGGGAAAATCTCCAAACCCAATGTTGACAGTGACATCCCAGCTCCCTTAAACAGAAATAGATTTTTTCACAGTTTTAAGGTCTCATCTAAACATCCTGCGAGTTTTACTTCTAATGCACAGGGAAGGAACACACTTACTTATTTTTGCCAAATTTCGTCTGCGGTCGGGAAATGAATCAACAACTTCTAGCTAGAGGTCTGTCGACTGAATTATCAAGACAGTGACTTCTAGAGTCTTACCTGTCCAAAAGCTCCCATCAATAATCTTAAGATGACGAAGGCACTGAACCAAGGAACAAATGCTGCCAACACGTAACACAGAGCCATGGCGATAAAGTTTGTGTAGAAGATCAGCAGACGACCGTATTTATCCGCCAGGGCGGGAAAAAGTGTCGCTCCAATCATTTGACCAATCACTAACATGGTGGTAGACATGCTTCCTAGGCCCTCGGCTCCACAAACAAGATTCCACTGAAAATTGTATCAGTTTGATAAGTGTGATCCATCATCCACAAAAAAGCTGACTTACGTTTTTATACAATATACATGTACTGTGAAATCACAAATTTTCGAGTTGGTTTGATTTTTGTTGTTTCGAGGAGTAAAGAGACCCATGAATTCGTGTCAACCACGAAATGAAACAAGCATAACCACCACTCAACAATTCTAAATCCACGAATCTATATCCCCACGAACCAAGATTTTTACTCAAACCACGAAAATTTGACCCCAAGAAAATATGTGATTTTACAGTAGTTATCAGGTTATTATTATGATGATTTTACAGTAGATATCAGGTTATAATTTATGCACTGAATTGTGTACGATTTTTTCTGTTTCCCCGATAATGTCAACGAGCACAAGGTGAGTGTAACCCATCGACATAAGATGCAAATCCCTCCATGGCAACTGATACCACTACTGATGTTCTTAAAGCTCCTCGGTTGCTCTTTTCCCGGTGGTTTAAAAGGATAACTGTTTTTCATCTTCATATTTAATGTTAAGTATCGTTTTTTTGTTTTGAACATATTTTATTGTATAATTTATACAACGGGATTAGTTACAAGTTCCTGCAACTTAAAAAATCCTCTCCTTAAGTATTGGTAATTTTTGTACCTCAGAAGCAGTGGTCTCTTGGCCAAAAAATTCGTATCCATCTCTACATGGAATAGTCTTCTGTGTGAGAACACCAGACCTGTTTGTCTCAAAGATGACGTCACATTGACGCGAATGGATTGTGACGTTATATGACGTATTGATGTCAGCGTAGTCATTTGTCACGTGCTTATCTGAAGTCTTACATTTGAAGTCTGGAATGTAACCTGGAAATGAAAAAAAGAGTATTTCATTGTTGTATTTCATATTTTTACAAGTGTTTTATTCTATTGAACTTACTTTCATTCCTTTAAAATTTAACCATGAAGAAAAGCAAAATCAATTAAATGTTTAAAAGTCTCTTAAAAGTTTTAAATGCTTGGCGATGAAAATTTGACTGCTCTAAGAATATAAACTAATAATAGACTTAAGTCAAAATTTCACAAATCAATATATTGACTTTTGAAATAATCTTGGTAAGAAATGAAAATTTTCATCATATCTTAAAATTGGAATATTAAACAAACTTGGAAATTTTCAAACAAATATGATAAATAAAACCCAAGATATTCAAAATCAAACTTTTGACTCACACCGTTCTCAGTTTATGGTCTTGAAGTCTGATATTAAAATGTATAGAATAAATAAATAGTATTCAAGACCAATAGTCCTCGTGCACTAAACAGTACTAAATACAAGGAACAGAGCAAACATGGACCTGCAAAACATCATGATCAGAGCTGAAATCAGGTTCCGTTGAGGAGTGAGCATCCCCTTTGACAAGTGGCAACCACCGTGTGCTCCTTTTCATGATCGGGAAATAACGGAAAATACCTTGACAACTCAATGTGTGTATAATGACATATCATATATTTAAAAAATAACAGTCAGTATTTGACTTAATGATAAATTGCATTAGCTGACAAGGCTATTGTACTAGTCATAGTATTTATGACGATATTATGACTTTAAACGGGTAAGCTGAAGCTTGATATTCTTGTTCCAGCAAACTATCTGTCAATGCCTTGCGTTTTTTAAATATCTCGTAGAGAATGTCCTTGCGCATTGAATCAATTAAGAGATATAAACTGTATATGCAAGTGATAAAGGTATATTGCTGCATAAGTAAGGGAAAATGGCAATTGTTGAAAAGTTCATGTTATCACGTTTATCATAGAGCTTGGTTGTTAGATATTCTGTTTAGTTGAAGGCAACTGCAAGTGTTTTCTTCCTTTCACGTATAAGATTTTGCATTAATTTTGCTTTATTTTGAATAAAAAATAAGGTTTGGTAAGAAGGGACACAATTGGGAATTCCGTTTAACTTAACTTTATACACCTTTTCAATTTTCCATGTACACAAATGTATATAACAAGGAAGATCTTTCTTTCACGAATAGTAAAATTTGATAGCCTAATGTTATTTGAGTAATGTCTATCTACATATCTGTAATATGACAATTATGGTCACGTGACTTAAATTCTTCAAAATAAAGAAATTTTGCGGGTTAAGATTTATAGTGGAAGTATTTATTTTGGTCTGTTTAAGGTTTAATTAAATAATATAAATAAGGGTTCGTATTTTTATCAACAGAGGATGCTTACTCCGTTTTTATGCCTTGTTCACAGATTTGCATTGCTTGTTGATTGTTTTAATCGATTGCCGTTCTTTTCCTTTTAACTTTTTTGCATCGTGTAAACTCACCTTGAGAATATTTTGGATCAGCATTTTGAAATGTAGTGTGACCTTTGTCAAAGTTTCAAAGAATAAAACGGATTCTTTTGAGAGGCACACAGGCCCTGATTTATAGTCATTTTAATAGGGATAACAGAACGAACGTGAGGAACCCAGACCTATCCAGAAAGATCTGATTAGGGAATCATTATGAAAGAAATGATTACCATGTAACCTGCATTTACGTTTTTGACTGAATTATGCCAAAAGAAGTGTGCAATATAATTTATAAGAGGCCAAAGGGCCTTGAATCACTCTTCTGATAAATGATACACTTTATCCTAAGACCCAAAATGCATCAATTGACAAAGTTTGATGATTCTTAGCCAGTTAGGACTGAAGATATTTCAATATAGCTATAAAACACTATATGTAGGTCACAGTGACCTACTTTATGATTGAAAATTTCTAAGGGACAAGCTGCATTAATTGACAAAGATTGGAGATTCTAGGCCAATAAGTACCTGAGACATTCAAAAGTAGGTCATGGTGACCTACTTTTTGGTCAACATGCTCCGAAAACCTAAGATGCATTAAATGACAAAGTTTGATAATTCCATGTTAATGAGTACCTGAGATACATAAAGCTAACCATAAAATGTCAAAAGTAGGTCACCTTGAATTACATTTTGGTCATCAACCTCCGAAATCCCAAGATGCATCAACCGACAATTTTTATTGATTCTTAGCCTGAGATACTTAAATATAGCCATAAAATGTCGAAAGTAGGTCACCGTGACCTACATTTTGGTCGACATTTTCTGCAGACCCATGATGCATCAACTTACAAAATTTAATGATCAAAGGTCTAACATTATTCAAAATATGCCTTTTAAACAATTTGAAAACAAATGTCTGCAAAGTTCAAAAGAAGGTAACAGTGACCTAATAATTTTTATTATAAATATGCTTTAAAGTCCGAAGATGTATAACTTACAAGATTTGTTGATTCTAAACCTCTCAGTGCCTAGAATAATGGGGTTAAATATTTAAAAAAAGATTAGCCATAAAATTAAAAAGTAGGTCACGGTGACCCACTTTTGTCCAAAATATGTCTCAAAATTTATTTGAAAACAGAATTTCTCGGAATCAAAGAAGTAAGTCACCTCACTGTGACCCTCTTTTGAGTTAACATGAAGTGATGTCCTAAGATGCATCGACTTACAAGACTTGATGATCCTGATCTTTATAGTAAGCAAAATATAAACATTTTTGATAAGTGAATAGGTGGTCAACTTTGAGGTGACCTTGAGACCACGCCCTTTGCCCCAGGGTAATTCCCCGAGCAGAGTTTATTTTCCAACATATCCTGATCCTTGTATGTAAGTTTGGTGAAAATCTGCCAGGTGGTTATAGAGAAGATTTTTTTAGCAACTAATACTTTTGGTTTTATTTCTCATGATTATCTCCCCTTGTTTTGGGATCCCAACCCTAGTTTTAGTACAAATGGTAGCTGTTTGGCCAAGGATACCCTGTGACAAAGTTGACAATGATTGGCCAAGGGGTTTTTGAGTTATGACCCATTATCTAAAACGTTAACGCATACCACACAAATGGGCATAGCATTAGCTCTTTGAGCCTTTGGCTCAGAAGAGCTAAAATCTGATATGATCTTTTTTTTCAAACCTCCACAACGTGATCACGAAAATTTATCATGACGTCATTCAAAATAATGTACTCACCAATAAATACGTAAATGACTACTGGATAGGTCAGAATCGGACCTCAACAGACGACATTATATTATGACGTCACTTTAAATAATGTACTCACCAACAAATACGTAAATGACTACTGGATACGTCAATATCGGTAAACAAAACAGATTGTAAGCATACTGTAGAACTTGGTATCTCCCGTAATTTCCTAAGGACCGTAAAATATTGTCTACATCCATTTTTATAAACTTCTAGAATATAGATGTGACCGAGATTAATAATATATTCAGCAGCATGTTCGAGGTAGGGATTTTATTGTGTTATATCTGGTGGTTAGTATTAATTGATCACTTTTATTCAGTTTTCACCTAAATTCGAAGGACTTCGCGGTTTATAAAGCGTAAACTGCCCCAACCCAGTTTATACCGTTTAAAATGGGTAACTATTAAATTCATTGCTTATAATTTAATTTTCATTCATTTGATGTAAGGAAAAAAAAATGATTGTTCTAACAAAATGACTTCAGTTTGTAGTAAAATTTAAATGTAACGTCAGGCGGATTGATACCTTTTCACCTGACATTAGGTACATGTATATGAGAAAGTTTAAGTGTTATTTATCAAGAAAATTTATTTCATAAAGAGCTTTTCAAATTCATACATTTAGGTAGACTATGAAAAGAATACTGAGCAGGTGCAAATTACTTCCATTACTTCATGTTCTTGTGGATGGAATCAATTCTGAAAATATATGCATGAGAAAATCAGGATAAACATGTATGCATACCATTATTAAGAGTAAATTGGTGTTTAAACTTAAGTCATATTCAGAAAAATGCATGAAAACATGGAACATTGAATGCATAATAAAATGTTTGCAATTCCTCTGTTATATTTTACTATTTTGTCAGGAATATTGCATGGTTTATAGCTAATGGAGCATGCCATTTTCCTTAAATGATGCATTAATTTGCTGCCTGAATGACTCCATTGGTCCAATTATTTGGGAATAGCTGCAACACATTATATATGCTTTGAGATTACTAAATTAATAGAAAAAAATGACACATTTAACATTTGACAAAACAAAGCAAGATACACTGTATACTGTAGTGAATTTATGAAATTCATATTTAAGATAAATAGAATCAAAGTTGTGTTACAAAACTTTTCTGGGAAATTAAAACCTCTTACATTCACAAGAACAAGTTATTAGAATATGAAAAAAGAAATTCTATCATCTTTACCAAAATGAAAAATAAATATAATCACACATTCATGCTTTAAAAATGTGAAATGCTTTAGAAGTATACATACCCTGTAGAGAAATGGATGCATTTTGTATTTATTCATTCTTAAAATCTAAAAAATAAAAGTATTTATATATCAAATAATTAAAAAAATATTATGTATAAATTACAGAATTTAATTGACTTGACATGACATGTAATCAAGCTAAAAATATAAATATATTTTATTCCCTATTAATTTAGAAATTCTATCAATTTAATTTAATTTAGAAACAACTATAGATCTAAAGTCGAAGTTCTATGCTTTCAACATTATGATACAGATAATTTTTTAATATTATGTAGCATGTTTGTTTGCCAAAAAGACAACAACATTTCGTGTTTATTAAATCATCGTCAACTCACTGATGACTAAAACAAGAAAATTTCAAATTTAATCCAATTTTAATTTGTATTTCTGTTGATCCCCCTTACTACACATTTTGTCTCAAAGAAAATAAGCGAATTGACAAGAACTCTATAAAATATATTTAGAACAATTACATTTTTAAAATTCTAATAAAAAAGTGTGCAACTTCCTATGGGGATGTTGGGGGGGGGGGGGGGTTACACACAATCACAATGCACTGCATTGATTTTTCACTGACTGTGATAATGCATATAAATGAACATGTACACACTCGTGATCGGTTTTTTTCTTTGATGTTAACAAAAGAATATCTAGATATTGTACGTACCTGGGCTGAATATACTGCGTTGATGGATCTAGGGAGCTGATGCTGATCGTCTCAGTCTTCTATTATTTCTCGAAATAATGTCCTCATATTCTCGTAACTGGGATAAACAATGCCTTGTCTCTTATCTTATCCCTATTTTATTTAAAGATTCCCCAGTTATTGCATTTAAATCCACTGCATATCTCAGCTGATGTCGCCACGTTTGTAGATGTAAACAACATTCCGTGTCATCGAGTGCAAGCGCTTGGCTGTTCAAGCCGAATGCAGCCAAATGGCACATAAAAAGATATTTTTTTAAAGACACGCTATTCTATGTAGGAGAATATCACTAATTATTATTTATTTAAACATAAAAATATTGCAAATGTTACAAATTCTTGCAAATATCAGTAAATAGTTATTTTGAGCTCTATTTCCTTATAAGGATTAATGAGGGCGGAGCAACTGTCAAGACGTGAAACCTCATTATGACTACATTACCATATTTTTTTCATGTGTAGCCTTAACTGTACTGTGCATCATGTTTATGTTTTTCTTCACCCTATACTATAGTCCTGGTGGACACATAATTACATATAACGTAAATATAGTAAATAATGAGGACCTTAGATCAATTATCTTAAAATTTCCTAAGTATACACAGGTAAAATTGCAACATATGTTGAACATACGTTTAACATGTGTTAAAATTTCGAAACATATGTTTGCCATAAAAAACGAGCAACATATGGTTAAGAAATGTTTCTAAACATATGTTGATTATACGTTGAACATATGTTATTTATAATGTTTGTATAATCATATGATCAGTATACGTTTATGTTCATATGTTTTTCATATGTTAAGCATATGTTAATTTTATTTATTTCATTACAATTGGTATTTCCTTGGATTGCATTGTGAACTAAACATTGAACTTATCTTTAAATGTCTTAAGTATACAATAAAAAATTAAGAGAACAAACTTGTAAACATTATTTGGAACCCCGATCCTTTAACTGACGGCGGAATTTCATTAAGATTATGGATTGCGTTGAAGATTACACCAGGCAATGGGCCAGATAAGGAAACAAAGATGTTGACACTTAGAAAGAAATGAATATAATGTATCATATATATGTTACATATGTGCGATTATATCATATATATGTGATAATCGCACATCAAACGATTGAGGGACAGTGTGAAAAAGTTTGAAAACCATCTATCTTTCTGTATTCAACAATCAAGAAGTAAACATCAGGATTAGATAGATTACATTATTGGTCGGTACTGGTTACTGCTGACAAAGCAGGTAACAACATTGTCCTTGTTTATAAGGCTCATTATATAAAGTGTATTTAAGTGGAATGCTACTATACGCATCGGTAAGACCTTTTTACCTTACGCCAAATAGAAGTTGCGAAAAACTAAAAGAAAGTTTAGGAAATAAAAAATCAGTGATGGAAGAAAGTAATGACACAATTTGTTGGCGAATGGAAATGTTGTTTCCGAATGAAAATGTTTACACAAACATAGTATTGAAACCAAAGCAAGAAAATATTCTTGATATGACCCAATCAGGTAAGAAAAACTTCCTGTGCAGATTGCGATTACCACCATTGATTGCTAGATGAAGGAAACGCTTTCAACGCACAAAGTTCATTGTGTTTTTCTTATATACATGTTCATGGCTCTATATTAAAAATGATTTTTTTGTTTATTTGCAACTGCAGTGATACATGTATCGACAATGGTTATTTTATAAAGATTCTTTTATGGTGGGTGAGCTTGCACTTGTGTATTACAACAGAATCGAAATATATTTTATCTTTTAATATAGTATGCCTATCTTTTGTACACTTTTGTCCCGTAGACAAACTTTTGTAAGCTATGGGGGGTTATCATTTATCAGCAAAACACAATCCAGGGTATGCAAATAAACACAATATATCAAACATATAACCCGACATATTGAAACCTCTATCATGACCTTAGAAATTATCCATAGATAAATATTTATTTTTATCAATTATTTCATTGGATGGAACATTTTTAGTTAATCAGGATGTACAGTTATTTATTTCTAAACATAATAATAAAGATACGGGGCTACTTTGTATGAGTAGTCCAATAAAAGCCGAGTAGGGTAAGTTAAAACTGATTTAATTTTCGTTGAAATTTTCATTTTCCCCATAATGTCTTCACTTTTAATGTGTTTTAACCGTTTTGGTCCACCTAAAATATTTTTCTTTTGTGCATTGTAAAACAATACATCATCTTGTATATCTTTGAAGTCACTCACTTTTTAAAAATAAATTTCTCGTCTCTTTGGAAGAAAACATCATCTGTAAGATGAATAATATAATGAATATACAGCAGATATAGTTTTTGTGTATCACATTAAATAAAACATTTTGGAGATTAAATGCCATAAGAGAAAGAATTACCTTTTGGTGGACACGCTGTCCATCTTCAAAGAAGTTGAATATCGTTTTTTCGTTTAAGTGATAGGTAAAAATGATGAAATGCCCATTCAGTTTGCATAGATGAGTAACTCTTTCACTGTCTTTTTGACATCTATATATGTATAAGAATTTTATTTGCAACACAACTTTAATTTTGTACACGATATTTTATTGAAATTGAAAGTAATGGAAGTCGAACAATAGGTACATAATTATAATTAAAAAAGTAATGAAATATGGAGACACCGAATACTCGGCAGCACATGGCGGGCGTGACAGGTCAGCAGGGAAAGCTCACTCCTTCATGGCACCTGATCCCACCTCTGATATTTCGGAGGTCCGTGTTTGCACTGCTTCTGTTTTGCATTGTTTTATGGACTTTAAATCTTGAATACTGTTCATTATCTCCATATGTTTCATTCGAGCTCAAAACCTCATTAAAACAATGCAAATGAATTCTGAACAAGGCTAAATCGGACATCCAAAAATATTAGTGCTGTCGTTGGATCAGACCCATTGAGGAGTATACAACCCATGTCGACTGGTTACATATACACGAAATCGTAGAATATTCTTTGTCAACTCAGTTAAAATAATGTTAGATATTCTCCGGCTATTACTCATAGAATATTTGCGTAGATCTCTACCTTAACAAAATTCCTTCATAAAAATATATAGTTCGACCAACAAACATGCATCCAAATATTTATATTGATTTTAAGTTATGACTTATTTCTGTGAATTAAATTATTTCTCTTTTTCTGTGTAATTACGTTTCAGAAAACTTTTTTTATATACACGTGCGG